GGGAAAAAAAAAAAAAAAAAAAAAAAAAAAAAAAGATTGAATTCAGAAATTCTTGGCCCTGTGAAGCTGGCTGATATTTTTAGAGGAAGGGTAAGATGGCTATCAACTGCATATTTTATTAATTCCCTTGAAATCTACTGGAGTACTAGATAATTATTATGTAGACTGGGAATGTAGTCGGTGGGGAATAAAAGGATTCACTAAACATGGCGCTTGCTTAATAAAGCCCACAGCCCAGTTGGAACCTGACAGAGACACCAACAGGAGCTGTGTAGGTTTTCAGGAAGACTTGATTCATGGTCAGGGCTTTGGTCAGTGGAGCTGCATGCATGCTGGGATTGGGGGGTGGAATGACTTCGTTTCCTGAAATAGTGGAACAGATTTCTCTGGACCCCACCAGTGCTGACTCCATGGCCAAGGTTTCCTCTGTGCTCAGCCACCTGTTGCCACAAAGTTGAAGGGCAGAAGCTCTAGCGCATGACCAGGACTTCACTTTCCCTTTCTTTGCAAATAAAACTAGCTCCACATATCTTGGAAGATACAACCTGGGGGATTGATAGCACTTGTGTGGTTTCTCTCCTCATGAGGCCTCACAAGCCACAAGAATGCAATCCAAGTCCCTTCTTAGGGCCTTCAGCATCCTGTATAATGTTTCTTTTCTTTCTTTCCAAGCTCACTTGTTACCACTGTTACTCTTTTTTTTTTTTGTAAAGCCCACAAACATAGCCTTCTGCTTTCCACTCAAACACAAGATGGTCTCTACCTTTGCACCTGGCTGTTTCCTCCTCGAGGGGCGCTGCTACCCTAGACTTTGGCAGGGCTGATTCTTCCTTGTCATGAAGGACTCAGTTAATAGTTACCCTCAGAGCTTTTCTCTAATCATCCAATGTAACATAACCTATTAGGTACTCTACACATCACCATGATGCTTTATTTTATTTTGACGTGTCCTTTAAAAATGTGCTTGTTATCTGTCTTTTTCTTTTAGAATAAAAGCTGTATGAGAACAGGAGCCCTGGCCTCTGCTATTTGTGCCACACTAGTAACTTGGTGGGTGTCATGTGTTGACTGGCTGAGTGGACTGTGTACCTCCACTTAGTGGACAGTATGTTGCCATACTCTGCCTTCTTCTTCTGAGAACGCTCTGCCTTCTTCCAGGGATCTCCTCAGGGAGCCAAGTCTGGCTTAGTGCTCCAGAGCCAGTGATTTTTCTGTCTACACCAGTGAAGGAATATTCTTCACAGCTGGTCTTCCTTCTATCTCATGCTCTCTAGATTGTGGCGGAGGCCTACATTCAAGGTGGTTCTCAGAGAGCTTCTGGTTTTCTGGCTATCTACCTTTGAGATAATGCCTTTTATTAAGTCATCCCTGTAGCCCTCACTGAAAGTGCCTTATCTTCTGAGGAGCCAGAAGCAGTTAGGTAATGCTCTTCAGTGAGCGACAGTGAGGCCATGCTATAGATCCAGGATGGTGTGTTGTGTTGCTTTCTCATTTGTTGCTATGAGGTATTCAGCTGGCTTGGTTTCATTTCTATTTTTCTTGTCTGATTCAGCTCTTCTGAGACAGACATAAAAATTGCCATTTCTTCTTAGACTATTGCTTGGTTTTTGTTTGTCCTTTATCCTTTGCTGCTTTGTTCTTAAGTGGTAGAAAATTTGAGTGTATGTATGAAGTCAATATAACATGCCCTGGGTGCACAAAAGCTGTAATTAGATGACTATAATTCATTATTTATTGAGTGCTGACAGAACTCTTGAGTTCTGTGAAGTACAGGAAGCAAGTTTCTGCTTTAGGTGGTAGAGAAACATGATTGTTTTTTTCTCATGTTACCTTTGAGGATCTTTGGAGAAAAGCTCCAGTGATCTAGGATAAACCTCCGCCTCATCCACAAAGACAGTTTAGCTCTTGGGGCTTTACACTTCACTTCTAGTTGAGAGTAGGGTTCTGTTAGTGTTCAGTGGATTCGATCCACATATTTGAGTGGAACTTCAGCTAGAGTCCTTCGTGTTCCCATTTTCATGGCCTCTTTCCTCCTCCATGGGATGCCTGTGACTCTTCTTACTGACTCTTTACCGGGCTATCTTCCTGGCTGTCACTTAGTATTTCCACATTCTCAACAAGGGAACATCATCTGGGCAACAGGATTTCTGCTTTAGTAGCTCTGGGTCGCTGCTGACTCTGGTCTGGAGACCACACTTAGAACCACTGGTCTGGAGCCACAGCCCAGGAAAGCAGCTAGAAGTGGAGTCATTCCAGCTATGGAAATTTGGGTTTGTGTAAAAAAGGTGAGGCAGATCATTGCAACGAGAATTAATTCTCTCTGAGATCTTGAATTGCATTTCAGAACACCCATAGGTTGGCAATCTGCTCCAAATAACTAAGCCTGCAAAGAAACAATGGGTCTGCCCGGCTTTTTGGTCCAGTGAGTGCCATATGTCTTCTCTGTGGGTAAACGACTGACTACCGCCCACCACAAACAGAGGTCGAAAAATAACCCAAGACCGTTTCTAATCCTGTGACTATTATGGTCCTTTGCCTAAATCTAGGTGGTTCTTCTGCTGTTGCTGACTTCTAACAATGTTGCTAAGGTGAGGGGGCCGTTAGTAAGTTTATTGTACTTCTTCCTGGAATAGCTCATGATCCTGTCTTCAAGAAAGCTCATAGCTGTCCCCAAGCATCATTTTCTTTTAAATGTTTTTTCTATTTTAGAGGCAATTGAACAAATATAGTATAAATTAATTTATATTTACTGTGATATTATTTTAATATTTTAAAATATCTTGGTTTTATTTTTGTTGTTGTTGCTGCTTTTTGGTCACGGGGATTGAGCTTAGGTCCTTCTGCTTGTGAGGCAGGTGACAGAACCACTGAGCTAAATCCCTGGGCCTATATCTCATTTTTAAAACAGTGTATTTCTAAAATAATGAATATCGAAAGTCATGTATAGCTACATAATTTTTTGCCTTCTCATGTATTTTTTGTTATAGAATGGGGTTTCCTGTGTTTACTGTATGAAGTAATAAATTTCATTTCTAATGCTTTTACACAGAAGGAGTTATTTAATAAGAATTATTAACTTTAAATCAGTAATAGGTTAGATTACAAAGTGATCTTAAAAATTATCTAGTTCAGGAGTTCGTGAAACTTTTTTTAAAGGGATACATAGTATTTTAGCTTTTGCAATCCATGTGATCTTTGTCACAGCCAATAAACTGTTGTTTTAACCCAGAACAGTCAGAGAAAATATAGTGGTATTCCAGTAAAAATGTATTTACATAAACAGATGCAATTCAGATAGGCTCGTGGGCCATGGTGTGCTGATTCCTGACATAATCCATTTCATCAATTTATCTGCTGAGCAAGGCTGGCTCTGCAGAGATCAGAGACTGGCCTGCATCACCTGGCTGGGAAATGGTGCGGCAAATTTTAATACTTGTGAGTTAATTGTACCACAGGACACTTGCTACTAGGACTTTGCTCTATTTTTTGGTATCAGGTCCATTTAGACCTGACAGTTTTTTTCTCCTGCCACTCTTGCTGCAAACACGGTGTGAGGCTAGGTGTGTCCTTTGTGCATTTTTTAGTCAAGTAGTTATGAGATCTGTCACATCAAATGACCTTCATCAGGTTTACGTGCTTGTGAAAGAGTAAAGAAACTAAATATCCAAAAGATTAAGTTTTCCCTGGCTTCTCTGGTTTGCGGGGCTAAAGCATGACACCATTCTTAGAAGGGCCAAGGTTGAAGATTTGATTCTTGAACTGACACAGAGAAATGCAGCTGCAAGGACACAAACTACCCAACTAAGCCTTTTTCAGAGGTGTTCTGTGTTCACAAGGAGATCCAGGACAGAAGTTTAGATGATCCAGAGCAAAGTGTTCCCCCAAATGTAGAAAGACTGAGTTCAAATTTTTCAGTTAAAAGCAATTCATTCTTCTCTATGGGCACATTTTTGACTGTTGATTTTAGAACAAAAATATCAACCAAATCTTTGTGCAGCCTGTGAACATTATAGAGAAGATATTTAAGTTTGACTGAATATTTTGTACATATTTTCAACAGTATCTTGAAAGAACTTATGTCAAAATTGTCCATATCATTTTTGTCCTATTTAATTTACATGGCTCTTTGCTATGTCATAATGTATCATCATTTGAGCTTGAGATTTGTATTATTGTTGTCATGGTCTACTTGCTGGTTACTTTCTGGATCCATGGTGTGTTATCCACATCTTTCAGCTGAATAGGAAAAGTGCCTCTGCCTTTGCAGAAAGTGATGGAATTGAAGCTTGGATTCATAAAAGTTTTAAGGCAAAGCAATTGAAAGTTGAGGACAGTTTTGTTGGACTCCAAATCCGAGACTCACACTCTCTTCTTACAAATATATTACAGAGACTATCTTTTACATCAGCTTATGTGTGTATGTGTGTGTGTGTGTGTGTGTGTGTATGTGTGTGTGTGTGCACGCGTGTTAGAGGAGGGAACTATTATGGGAATATATATGAGCTGAAGCCAACCCGGTCACTGCTAGGGAGCTGAAAACTTGTATGGTTTCTCTATCTTGCTTGGCCTTTTCACTTCATATTGGCTGCTCCCTTATTCACTTATCACATAGTCTTTCAATTTTTCTATCTCAAATTAAATATGAGACCATTTTATCGCTTTTGCTAATTAGCATTAATTCCACAGAGAGATGTTTTCCCGCCAGGAAGCCGAAGGTGTCATTAGGGACTCTTTGGATAGGCAGCCCTTGCACAGGTGCCCACTCTGCTTCTATTGGTAGCTCTGCCTGAGGAACAGCCTGCTGTTGCCTTGCCGAGTGTGATAGTATTATTTAGGGCATGGAGATTGGACACTGAGTAAAATGAATTCTTAAATTTCACTTGCAGTGTGATTCTCATCATTTGTGATGCTAATGCAATGAACACTTTTGTCTCTTCCAGCCTTCATACACCGAATTTGATATCAGTGGCAATGTCCTCGCGTTGATCTTCAACCAAGGAATGATCTGGTAGGCCAGCTGTTGGATAGTATATCGCTAACAAGAAAACCTCCAAGGTCATTGTTGCAGAAGGCATGGAAGTTTGGTTTCAGAGGAGACAGCAGTTTGTGAAATCTAACTCATTGTTTGCCTTTGCACAGTTTTTGTTTTCATATCTTAGATCCTTTTTTCCCAAAGCATCCCCTTGTTTTGTAGAGGGCACCTTCATCAAATCATGGGAATCTTTGTTCTGGTTGCTAGATTCACTTGAAGACTATCTTTTTCTATCCTTGTGACACCAGGATCTGATAAAGAATAATAACAATGCCACCTGTGAACTGTGAAATAAATTAACATAAACCGTTTTTAATTAACCAATTTTCTTTTCTTGTCATTGCTAAATATATTTAAAAATACATCTGAGAGCTATTTTTCAAAATATTATCTAACCAAATCCAATAGTTCTGTGGAGGTGAAACACATGGTTTGGGAAGGTCAAGTTAAAATATGATCTTCCTTCTGTAACTTGTTTTATTAGAGCCATTTGCACAGCAGAACTGTTTCTTTTGATGTGCAAAGGATTGTCATATCTTTATTAAATGGAAGCATTTTCACTGTAAATCCTGACAGGTTATGATAAGTTGATACAGTAGAAACTGTTTTTGAGTTTAAAAATTGAATCACAGCATGCGATTCATCTGGGGACCATGTGTCTTGGAAATCTGTCAGTGCTAAATAATAACACCCAACACCCAGGCAGCTGCAGTTGAGCTACTTTATGCTATGGACACGTGCCTAAAACAGTATTGTGCCACCAACCATACTACTGTCCTACCCACAAGTGCCAGGATAGCATTGGCTTTTAAACAAGCTTCAACTATTCCTTAAATCCTTCAACCATAGCTGGCCTGAGTTACTAATCCCTTGTGTGCTGATGCTGACATAGACTGGACCTCTTTGCACTGGATAAAACCATCTTGCTTTGCTGATATAAAGACCACCCTCAAGGGCACCATTGTCCTGCCATGGGACCTGTCAAATTCTGGAGTCTCCCTAGGAGAATCAATATAAAAAGCCTATGAAAAGATTATTTTCTCTGTTGTCAGATATTTAACAATGTATTCCTATACCTTCACTTTCTAAACTTTGCAAGTGTGGCTCATATGTCCAGAGAGTTGTGAAGGAGTAGAGTGCATCCTTTATTCTCCAAGTGAGAAGGAAAATCAAGGAGATCTGAGAAATAACTACTGACAGGCAACAAAGGGAGCAGCTCCTGTGGGTTCTGATCTTTACTTCCCAAGGGGGATTTGCTGTCCTGGCTGAAAATGACTAACATTACTAATGGGGTAGTGAGAAACCTCCATCTCATATCAGTAACTTTCACACAAAGTGTCACGAATCTCTCAGTCCTGGCATGTGCCAATAGACATATATTGCATGTCTGTTGTGTTCTTTCAGAGTTAAAACAATAGAATGGTCTAGAAATTCATTTCTGTCATCAGAAATGTTGTCATTGCTGCCCTCATTGGTTTTGCTTTTAAGTTTGCAACTGTTTAGTCCGTGATTGTTTATACTGAAACTCTGGAGAATCTGAAAACCTTTTCTAGTCTAGTCTTCTCATGGGCAGACCCTTTATCAAAATCTCTGCATTGTCTTTGTATTATCACTTGGTTCTGGTTAGTTTCATAAAGACTTCAAAATGATTGTTTTGTGAATATACAAAAGATATTTACATACTCCCCCAGGTTCAAGAAACAAAATCACTCTTATTGCTATTCACTGTCAAGTCAGCGCTCTGCACAAATCTTTCCTTAACTCGCAGGAGGTTGCTGCTGGGGGTGTGGTGTGGTGGGAAGTTGTGAGTGGGTACAGTGTAAGGTTAGCAGGCTCACAAGGGCCCTAACTCATAGTAGTAACCCCATTGTTTCATGACCAGTGAGGCTCTGACACCTGAAGTTAGCTATTTTCCATAAAAACAATAAAAAATTATAGAGATTTTGTATTTAAGTCCATTGTTTTCTGATTTGTAAACATTCAAATACTGCTTTAGGAATTGCTGAAGAGTGAAGCTTCTTTACACAGATGTTATTAAAGTCAAGACTTATAGATAAAATCCATTTTGTTATGATTTGTCTGAATGATCAGTCCATCTTCATTTACACGCTTATTTTTAAAGTGGAGATCCTAAATGTCTGTAATAATATTTTAAAATTATGAAATCATACAATATGTTTGCCCTAACCGGATGTAGAGAGGTGAGAGAGAACAGTGACATGAGAGAGGAGATAAATTTTGGACATTGCTCTCACACTGTCCCTTTGGGTACCCTTCTCCACTTCTGTCACCTCTCCCCTTCATTTTCTCAGTCAGTGAGGTGTGAATAATTTGTCTGACATGTACCTGTCCCTAGAGTAGTACGAGAGGCAAATGAAAGCTTTCACTTGCTTTGATCTGCGTGGAAGAAAAGCATTTCACAAGGCTAGAGTGGTACAGTGGTTTTTAACTGACAGGTGATGGGGTCAGATCTGGTTAAAGGTCTGAGTGAGCTGAGCTGATTAGTAAGTGAGGAACAGAGACATGAGAGGCATTCAGATTCAGATGTCGTTGTACCAGGATCTCTTTTTCTAGGTTATGTCTCTTAAATCATTTGTTCATAAAGTCTACGTGACATTTATGTGGAAATTTATTTATCTGTAGATGTTTGTGCATATATTGTGTGTACATGCATAGGTACATAGGAAAAATGCGTATATATGTGCATGGCGAAAAGACACATGACTTTAGTAAGTCTAGGTTTTGAATTATGTGCAAAGTTTGGTCTTAGACTCAGTCAAGTTCTGCAATAATAAAACACAACCCCAAAGTCTTAGCAACTTACAAAAAGAACATGTCCAGTGTAGGCTGGAGGAGAGCTCTGACCTTGTACTTCGTCCTCACTTTAGAGAGCCAAACTGATGGAATAAGATCTGTCTGAATGTTACTGATCGCAGTACCAGGGAGCAAAGACAAGAAAACCAGACTGGCTTTTAAAATTTCCACCCATCCTTGAGACATGTAATTTCTATGTACATTTTATTGGCCAAAACAAGTTACAAGCCCAAGGCTGACTTTTAGGATGAGGTGAGCATACTCATTTGCAAATGTCTTACACTGGAGATATGGGCATTTGGTAAAATAATCCATTGAAATGCTTGTCTGTCAATTGGGATCATCCCTACTTTACTCGTATTTTTAAACTTCCAACTTTTGCTGTTTTATAACAGTAGTACACTCTGTTGCTTCAAATTATATCCTCCCACTAAAATAAAACAAAACAAAACAGCACCACCACCACCACCACCAAAACCCAAAAAACTTTCTACAAACTTTTTGTTCAATCCACTATCACAAATATTCAGATCTGTTTTCTGGCATCCTATGAATAATAAGATGATAATCCAAATTGGGGCCAGATTCTACTTTTCAAAGGAGTGCTTTGACTATGGGTTGGTATAATATCAATTATAATAAAAATTAGTATCTTCATATAAATAAAAAATGCCTGTATTATATACCAAGGTTACACTGAATTGGTTAAACAACTACACACTCACGTATTAGAAAATGTTAAAGCTAATCAGGAAGGCTGAGAGCTTTATTATAGTTGGGACAGCTTAAAAGATAAGGATCTATCTTATTTATAAAATGAATACCCATATATCTTTTTTATGGTTTTGGAACAATATCTTGTTATTTATAATAGTTTATGGTGCTAATGAACTTTGTCACAAAAGAAAACTGAAATTTACTATGTTGAAATAATTGACAAAGTAACCAAGTGAAAGTAGCTTCACCTAACTGGCTTCTGTGTAAAAGTAATTTGCCACATACTTTTCAAAAGTCAGATACACAATGCAGTGGATTTCCTGCACGAACTAACATAAGAAAGTAAATACATAAACATATTTATAAAACATAAGTGAATGTGAGGGGTTTTCACCTTAAAAACACATAAAGCTAGCTCTAAATTATCAAGAAAATACAGCATAACTTTAGGTATAAATATGTCTTTACAATCAGCTCTACAACATTCTAAGAGCTACTACACTGAGACAGTGGTTACTATCAGAAAAAGAAAAATTATTTAAAAATTTCCCTCATTTATTAAGCAAAATCTAATTACTCATGACCAAAAGGTTAATTCAAATGTGCTGTTTATTTGAATAGAATGAGTGGTTTTAAGAGTCAATTATTACAAAATTTATAGTTTTAGATATATTAATGAATTGAGTATTAGGGGAAATGGTTTTAGAATTAGAAGAAAGAAGTAAAATAATTTTAATATGTTATTTACTCTTGTAGCTTATATTTACTAATGAAGACAGATATAGTTAGTGTTTTTTGTTTTGTTTTTTGGTACTGGGGATTGAACTTGGATCCTTGTGCTTGCGAGGCAGGCACCAGAACCACTGAGCTATATCCCCAAGTTAGTTTACAATATATTTTCTGTGAAAGACCTATGTGCACAATACCTAAAATAATGAGGGAAATGTAAAATGTGTAGAAGATGGACATAGATTAGGCATAGTTAACCATGACATGTTTCTGTGGTTGAATGTGTTTGTGTATTTTCTGCCTTTGGAAAGAAGCGCGATGCTGTGTAATGAACACCCCAAACTGAACATGGCCCTGTTTTTTTTCCAGGATGGGCTCCTTCTTCGCTCCTAGCCTCCCAGGCATCAATATTCTTCGACTGCACACATCCATGTACTTCCAGTGCTGGGCCGTGATGTGTTGCAATGTTCCTGAGGCCAGGGTCTTCAAAGCTTCCAGATCAAATAATTTCTACCTGGGCATGCTGCTGCTCATCCTCTTCCTGTCCACCATGCCTGTCCTGTACATGATCGTGTCCCTCCCACCATCTTTTGATTGTGGTCCCTTCAGGTCTCTAGTCTTTGAAATTTGACTTAGGGGTAAAGGTGGGAATAGCCATTCATTGTATGATTTAGTTTTTTTTTTTTAATGACATTTTTGGTGGCTAGAAACGAGATCCTTTAGATAGTCAGGATCATTGTGTACATGGAGAATCTTAGGCAGGTCTCATCTGTTTTCTCACTTGGTAATCATAAAAAGGAAACTAATTTATACTGCTTTAGGCTCTGCCAGGGTAAAATATGGGCACTGAAAATGAGCTGTCTCCACATTACGGGATAACTAAGAGCAATATTTAAGTATACTGGTCTGGATGTGAGAATTTTCCTAATGCTAAAACAGCACATCCAGGTACAGTGAGCTATTGCTAATCTTCATGTGTACCGTCGCCTTCAGGGGCAGGGGGAAAGTTGCTCATCTGTTACCTGGGAAGTGGAATTGGTATTAAATAGTAATAATGGCTATGATATAATAATTATATAATAATTATATGGGTCATATAATTTGTTATATGAACTGCTATGTGTTAGTAAAAAGACAAGTATGTTTCTTCTGTATATTTACCCCAAAATCACTCAGGCCAGCAATCAAGAGTCAAGAAGACCCTGATGTGAGTTAACATTGTGTTTTTCTACTGTTCTCTGTGCCAGAGTTCTCTTTTGGACACATATCAAAATTAAAGTCCCTGGGATCTGGAAGATAGAGCTTCCTTCCTTGAAATCCCTTATAACTGAATCTGTCACCCAACTATGAATTTGTGCCTGTTGGTTTACTGGCCAGTGTGAATTTGGGGGGAAGGAAATAAAAATGTAAAAAGCCATGTGAAGAGCAACCGTGATGCTATAATGACCACATGTAGTTTCCCCTTCATGCTGTCAGATCCACATTAATTAAAGTTAAAATAGTTGTTTAAAAAATGTTTATTGCCCACAGACTAAGTATGGAACTATTTTTATTCTAATCATAGCCTGAGTTACGCTTTACTAGAAAAGAAGGAAAATGCTGAGCTAGATCAAAACTGGCTGTAGTTCTGTCAGAGTCAGGACACTGATGTTGAAAAGCCCTCTTCGTGTGTGTGTGTGTGTGTGTGTGTGTGTGTGTGTGTGTGTGTACATGTGCACGTGCATATGCAAGCGGGCACATTTCCAAGTAGGCTGAAATAATGCAGACAGTGGCATCTGGAGACCAAATATGAAATTACAGTCTTCACCGAGACATTTACTTAATAAATCCCTAATGTCAGAGTACAAATTTCGAGATTATGCCCTTTAATCTTTGGTGAATTGCAAATTACCTGCATAGCTTGATATCCAGGATAAATTTTAAGGGTATTTTTAGTGCTTTAATTGGAAGTTGATTCTTCTTAGGAAAAGATCAAAAGGACCTTAGCAGTCTGAAAGAGACATCGCACGCTGTAAACATGGAGTTGCATGGTTACATGGGAGCATTCAGATTGAAAGTGGAATTAGACATGTATAATTACTGGAGATCCTCACCTGTCTGCTCTCTCTCTTGTCTCCTTTCACTGTCATACACTGAGTTACTCTGGTTTTTACTGAAAAAAGTAGTAGTAGTTTGCAACTAAGACATAGTAACAGACTTTGGCCAAGAGTTACTTAATTGGAAAACTTGGGCAAAATCACTACATAAATGTCACTACTTCTATCAAGGAAATTTAAATATTTTCAGAGGAGTCCTGGGAAATGGCTGTGTCTGTACCACTCAGGATAGCTTCTTCGCCATTCTCAGGCATTCTCAGTTTGAGATGTTTGCTTTGCCTGCCTAACGAATGTTGCCTGACCCTTCTGGCTCTGATATGGGCAGCAAACTTGAATTTGAGGTTGGTTAATGGAGACATTGCAGTGGTAACCAGGCTCTCTCAGGTACAAGTGTGCTTTCAAGTAATGTGATGCGAGTCCATTTACCTATTCAGCAAAGCCGTGCGATGAGATGTTCTAGTATTTTCTGGTTTTATAAGACCTAGCTAGTGAGGACGAATTTTCTAGAAAATTCTCCCCATAGCTAGTAAATGAACTTATTTTAATCATGGGACAGTTTAAAGACAATTTTTTGATGTCCTGACAATTCTTTTAACTCTTCTGTCATATTTCCTGAAACTTGATGTTTCAGACAATTATTCTAATTATCATATTTCCCAAAACTTGATGTCCTCTCACCGTGTGTGCCAATAACTCTGTACAGATTGTAGTTCTCAGAAGCCCCTTGAGTACATTATGGCAATTTATTTTAAAATGCATTTTCATTTAATGCATTTCATTTCATAATGGTATGTATTTATCTTAGATAATCTGGATATTTTTGATATTTTAACATTAATGCAAAGGCTGCCCACCATCTCAGAGACAAGATATAATGGTTCTCAACACTTTGGTATTATGTATTTGCATTTTCCTTTAAGTAGATTTTTAAATAAGTAAGATCATGAACTAGGTATAGGTTTATATTTGGAGTCACTCTGTTGAAAGAGAGTATTAATTAGATCTGAAAGAAAAAAGCTGATCTGAGATTGTGGATCATGTTCATTCAGTAGTTGAAAAAATTTACAGATTGAAAGATAAAAGCAAGACTAAATATTATTGTTTGTTACAACTTTTAATCTAAGGATACCTACAATTCATTGAAACAACTTGTCACTGTAGAATAAAAATTACAGAAAAGAAAACTTGGCACAGGAATATTTCATTACCCTTCTAGATACATCCTCTGCCAAGTTCACACATCCTGCTCTCGGTGCTCCAGTTCATCAGAGCTGGTTTTTCTGTAAACTGGGTGGGGTCTTAGTGGATGTACTTTGGTAATCTTCAGCGGAAGAAGAAAGACTGCAAGGGGGAAAGAGCTCATCGCTCTGTGGTTCTCTGATGAAGGAGGCCTGGTGGAAAAGGAGATGGAAGCTTCTGGGTGGAAAGAGATGCTGGATTATTTGTGAATTTTATTCCACTAGGGTATTTCTTGAGCTGGTTTCCAAAGCCAGTTAAAAGTTGAATGCACTGTGTACTCAGTTCAAAGAGCACATTTCCCCACGAGAACAGCTGGATGAGGGGCAGACTTATGAGTTACTTAAAACTGCATTTCAGTCAAAATCCCAGAAATGTAATGTTAAAAAACTTCTCCAAATGCTTTGGTTAATTTCCTAACTTCATGGACTCTGTGTGCATGCGTGCATGTGCGTGCGTGTGTGCATGTGTGTGTGTGCACACGTGTGTGTGCCCTGGGATAACATTTCTCACATTATATTGTATTCACATATTGACAAGATAGATCAAAGTATCAGGAGACATAGCTAAACAAGTTCCCTAACCTGCAAGGATAACTAGATAGTAGTATATATGAGAAACAGTTCTAGTTTTCCTGCTGTAACCAGAATTTTCCATTTATTTTATATATTTTTTTTCTCCCTTTTTTTTTCTTCCCAGTGGCAAAAACAGAATGTTTGAAGTCATCGGTGAGACTTTGGAGAATGACTTCCCAAGCTGGATCGCGAAGATTTTAAGACAGCTCTCTAACCCCGGGCTGGTCATTGCTGTCATTTTGGTGATGGCGTATGTACTTCTCCTTCTCTTAGAAGGAGCCTTTATAATTTGCTTTCTGGCTCCTTTGAAGTTCCTGCCTTTCACTTCTTTCCCTCTCCCAGGGGTTGTGCTGTAGCCTAACCAAATTCAGCTCTGATGACATGGTTGTGGGAGCTAAAATTCATGAGCCATATTCTGATCCTGTTGGATGAAATTCACAGACATCTGCATCTGTCTTGCCTCCCCAGGATTATAAGATTTGTTCCCAAGTAACCAAAATAATTATCAGTAAACAGCTAAAGCAGGGAAAACATAGATGCCAAATCTAATCAGCACATTGAGATTCCCTCCACAGTGCGGCCCCCACCTCTGCTCCAGAAAACAGATGGCTGTGAATATAGAGCAATGATTGGTCTCTAAGGTAATATTCCTTTGGAGGCCTTGTCAGCTCTATCTGAATGCTAAACCCTTATAGGCTTGTCCACTTTGTGGCCTGTGGGTTTGACAGGTCTGGCTTGTCTTGGGCTGCACTGAATGCAAAGAAATTATCTTAGGCCCAACATAAAATTCATAACTGTCATTAATGTATGTAAGTAACAAAGCTTCTGCAGGTTGGACACAACTGTGAGGGGTCTTTGGAATTGCCCTGTCTTTGTTTTTAGAAAGCCATCAATAACTATTGTCCATTCTAAGAGAATCAGAGTGCTGGAGGGTCTTGGAAAGGTACCTTAGTCTATCCCTTCAAAATCAGAAGTGATTTCCAAAAAAGAAATTGATGGGTTCTTTGTTCTCATATAACTCCTCTTGACTTCTGATTTTTGGCCACAACAAGTAAACTCACATTCTAAGTAAAAATACATACTTGCTATAAAACAGCCAAGAAAAGTGGACTTTCTTTCAGCCTCTCATCCCCATCAAATAGGAAGTCTGTCAGCTATGGAGGGTGGGCAATAAACCACCTCCAGAGACCAGTTTGGAACAAAGTTGATGTAAAGGGTTGGATTTGTTTCACAAAGGTAAAATGAGGAAATCTGGGGAAGGAAATGCCCACTGGTATGAAGTAAACAAGCTGGGATTCTGAACTAGATATTGTTTGTATTAGCACTGGCATGGTCCACAGCTACATAAGGCGGTGAGGGAACGGGTCGTATTCTTCAATTTTATAAATTAAAAAACAATTTAGAGTTCTGATCTTCCCTAAGAGTGAACGGTTGTAACTGGGTAATAGCAGGACTTGAAGCAAAGCTCTTTCCAGTAAATCCAATACTAACTGCTTTACAACATGATGCCTTCTGTGAGGGAGAACTAATAACCACAGGGATGATTACACACTGAAACATTACTATTATGTGTTACTGAACCTTGATCATGGGGTGGTATTGAGAGTCTGATAGTAAATCTTTGGCACAGATATATTAGAAAATAACCTGCTGGACACAGCTTGTTTCACCAGATGGCCCTTGAAGAGATTTTCTTTCTCTACAGTTTTTCTGAATACAGTGGCTTCAGGAAGCATGTTAATAACTATCACGTGGGTGTAGATAATCAAGGTCCTTCACTTGCATAGATGCGGTCATGTTTAAAACACACACACACACACACACACACACACACACACACACACGAGCGCACAATTTAAAGGTCTGATTCTAATACAATATCCTTAATCTATTGAGAGATAGATTTTTTTTAAAAAGAAGGAGTAACATAGTTTGGACACCACTCCTGAAGATGTACTACACCGGCTCTAGAATGTGGGGAGGGAATGAACTGTGCCCTTGTTCTAAACGCCAGTCACACGTGGACTCATTTACTCGCACATGTCTTCAGGAAGTAGGTTTTGTTAATCATATTACCCACAGCACATGGAAGGTCTGCCCCAAATCGAGTGGCTAATAAGTGGAATTCAAATGGATATCTTCCTGCCCCTGTTTTCAACTCCCTCCACTAAACCGAGTTTGGGATCTGTGGGAACGTCAGAAGGGCTGGGGCTGTTTGGGAAGGGCGGCCTAAACCCAAGCAATGCTTTTCTTAAAAGCCCAGATACAGGCCAAGAGAGACAAAATTTAGGACTTCACATAAATACTTATATAAACATTCAAAACTGAAAAACTATTCTGAGCTCATTAGCCACACAAAATAGTCTGGGAACTGAATTTAGCCTGGAGGCCATGGCTTGATAGTCCTTGATATGGACAGCTCAGAAGAAAGCTGGCAGCATGTAAGGGTCGAACAGATATCCAGAAAGATTGATTTTAACCCTGAGGTCTTGATATAAAATTCAAATTTCAGTTTATTGCCGATTTGAATTTTTTCAAATCCTGAGGTCTCATCTTCCACTTTATGAAGCCCAGTCACTTAGCGTGGCTTTTTATTACCTTTAATTAGTGAATGTTACACGCATTTGAATCATATTAAATGAACCAATGGATCATATTAAGTCTGTGTGGGTGGTTTTAGGGTATCTGAGTAGAATTTGGGTTAGTTCCCTGAAGGCAGGGTTGTTCTCTTGAAGACTGGGATGTGATTAGTGAGGAAGACTCATTGAGGGTGCCTTCCAAGGTGTGAAGAAAGTGAGGGACAAACAGAATTCCAGCTATTGCCCTGTGAGATCTTTGAATTTACCTATCTAAATCCAGGAAATTTTCAAGAAAATTCTTATAATACACGTACACGCCTGTATACACACACACACACACACACACACACACACACACACACACACACACACATTTACTGAACACCTGTTTCATGCCGAACATTGTTCCCAGAAGTCTCATGTGTGTAATTTCAGTCAAACTCTGCTTAATCATAGAAGGGATAAACAGATCCAGCTATACCATACCAATAACTGCACAGCTAGCACCAGATGGCTCATAAGGGTTATTATCTGGCATGTTGGTGAGCAGGGGAAAAGTGTTCACTATTTGATTATTTGCAACAAAGAACAATATCCGTCACTTATTTTTTGCTCAGTTTTTTTCTCTTGTTCATTTTGCCTTAACAAAAGATGAACATATTTATTTTTGCAGAATTGTTGGTTTGGATTTTGTTCTTCCTATAAACATGTGTCACTTAAAATCCAAAATTATACCTTCATAAAACATTTTCTCCTGGAAGAAGGGGGAAATGAAAACAGCAGATTTTAGGGGGGAAAACCCTCCATGTTAATTAACCAGGCTTATGAAGATTGTATTCAAAGGAGGCAGAAAGAAATTTTTCTCTTTGTTCTTTATATTCCCCATACTTCAGTAGATTTTCCATTTTCTTGGGTGTCATTGCCATTAATTTAAAATGTTGCTTTTAATTATAATTTAAGCTTATTTTCGTACATTCCAGGAAGAAGCTAATTGAGGTAGTATGGAACAGTAACTAGAGCGCCAAGCCGAGGAAAAAGAGCCTTTGGCCCAACTTTCCAGCTCTATCCTAGTTTCTGTGTAACTCTTTACCTCTCTTGACTTCAGCTTTTGGCTACAAAATAATAAATTTTTGAGTAGGAAAATATCTTAATGTCCACTCTCATGTTAACATTCATGATTTAGTTAATGTAAGTATAAGAAGTATCCTGAGGAACTAAAAAGTGCCAAGAATTTTTTTTTTTTTAATATTTAGGTTGACCATCTATTATCTTAATGCTACTGCCAAGGGCCAGAAGGCAGCAAATCTGGATCTAAAAAAGAAGATGAAAATGGTAGGATGCAGTTTACTTCGTGGAAACATTGTCTTGATCAATGTCAAGTTGTACAAAACACCAGGAAATCTGATTTTCTTTTTTATTGTACAGCAAGCTTTGGAGAACAAAATGCGAAACCAGAAGATGGCAGCTGCACGAGCAGGTTAGAGCTCTATTCCAGTTTTTACTTTTCCACTTACAGTGTGGTTTTCTTTTTTTCTCCAAATGGGCATCTGATGGTGAGTGGGATGCTTGCTCTTAGCAAGACATCCCACAGTCCTCCATGTCTTTAATCCTCCTCATGCATCCTCAGGGGGGCCATTTGTTTTATAGAGGAAGGAAAAAAGAGAGAAGGAAAAAATCAGGAATGTAAACTTAGCAGTAATTATTTTTAGAAAGTGATCTTGAAAATTGACAAATTGACAGAAAATGATGAAAACAACCCTCTAGTCATATACAAATAATGACTACAATCAGGACTCATTTTGACTATTTTTATGCATGGAAGGAAGAGTACAGATCCCAAAAGGACGTGCCTCTCAGCTCACCACCATTTCCGGGTGCCATTTCTGATTCATTATCCTTTCTTTTTAAAATCTTAACTTTTATTTTATTATTTATTTTTATTTTTTGGTACCGGGAATTGAACTCAGGTCCTGTGCTTGCAAGGCAGGCAGCGGAACCACTGAGCTAAATCTCCAGCCCCAAATCTTCTTAACTTTTAAAATGCAGTCAGCCCTTTCCTTGCAGAGGGTTCCTCACTACAGATTCAACCAACCAACTCTGTACTGAAAATATTTGTAAAAAAGCATCGTGATTGCATTAAACATATTCAGACTCATTTTTCCTTTCATTATTCCCTAAACAATACAGCAGTGGAACTATTCACATAGCTTCTACATTAAATATTGCGAGTAATGCACTGATGACTTAACGCACACAGGAGGATGTGTGTTGGTTATATGCAAATATTACATCATTTTGCATAAAAGATTAGAACTTTCTGAGACTTGTGTAACCATGAGGAGATGAGGAAAGCTCGGAACCAATCCCAATAGATGACTCTATTTGAATAAAGCAGATTCCTATTTGCTAAATTAAGGATGTGCTTTGGGCCCCCCATGGAAAAATGGTACCTAAAATCTTCAGTGAAACAACTTTTATATTAGCAGATTTTTTCTCCTCTGTAAATAATTTTTAAAAATGCAGCTCAAGTTGGATTAATTTAAAACAGAGAAGTGTACTGATGTACACAAATAGACAGGGTAGTGGTCTGTATAGCTTCAGGGCACTATTATCCCTAAATAAAGAATGTGGTTGTAGCGGAGTCCATTTCTCTGTGAGTCTCTCAGGACTAATCTGTGGGCGTTTATGGCAGCAGGAATGGATCCGGCCACTTCCAAGGCCATGACCTTAGAGCAAAATTCCCAAAGGAAATCTGAGTGTGAGTTTAAGTTGCCCCTGGGAAAAGCAAGAGAACTTTTCTGGAAACTCCCCAGTGTCTTCTCCTTGGATTGACCCCATATGGGTCATGTAGCCATCTTTCAACCACAGGCTGTGTCTTGGAGAGAGCATGGTAAGTTGTGGAAGACAGTCAGGACGCCTTTGGGACAGGGCCGGTCAGATTCTCTAAAGTTCGTGGGATGCACTGGGGAGGGTACATCTCTTTAAGAAAAGAGAAAAAGGTGCGAGGTGACCCTAAACAATGTATGTTTAAGACATTGCATTTTTGTTGCAATTTCTGACTTTTATTATCAGTTAATTATTAACTACAATAGAGATAAGAATTTGGCTTTTTTCATACCCAATCTTTCTGTACATTGTATCATACAGTTATATTATTATTTTTGTTGGGACAATTAGTTTTATTATGAACATTTACATGATTGAAGTAGGTAGTAGATGTTGGATTTCACATACTCACTATATCTTTGGGAATCACAATTGTCTATTTTAAAATTTTTATTATTTTCCTATTTATTTACCAAAAATTCAATCTCTGTGTCTCTGCGGTGTATTGACTTAAACTTTTAATATGTCCATTCGTACTGGCTTTCTCATTCACTTTATTTCTTTGGAGAAATGTTTCCCAGACTCTTCTGAACTTTTTCAGTCTCAGCTAGTTCCCTTTTTACGTTTGCTGTGTAGCTGTGATTCCTGATTCCCTTTATGCTGTTTAGCAGGGTCTTTATCCTTCTAGTCTGTCTTTAATATCTTAGCTTCCATTTTCTTCACCTTCTTTCTTAGCTTGTTCACGTGTTTGTGACAAAAAAGAACAGGTCTAGAAAATGCCCAACTAATAAAAATAATATTCTTTAAGAATAAATTGCTTCAGACATTTCCCATCGCATTCTAGATTTGAGAATTGCTATCAGGCAGTCTGAAACTATTTTGATTCTCAATCTTCTTGAGTGGCTTGTATTTTTGATAGTCTGTTTTATCTATGTAGAAAGTTGGAGGATCTACTTCTTATCTCTAGTGTCCTGAATTTCATGATGATTTGTCTGCTGTGGATTTACTTTTTATTCTCTATAGTTTCATCAGTAGGCCTTTTCTTTCTAGAAATTTATGTTTTTTAATTGCATGGAATTTTCTGGAACTAATTTGTTATCATATTAGTGCTAAAAATGATGAGTGGAAAATTCTGCCTTCGAAGATCAGAATTCTAAAGTTTAGTGTTACCTTTATGGTTTTAAAGCATGGTGTAATGCTATAGCATGTTATTTACCTGTTGCTTTCCCATAGTATTCACAGTTGCTCTTTGGACCACAGGAACTCTTATCTTAAAAATTTAGAGGGAATGGATTTCTGTATTTATTGCATGTGACAGTTAATAACTTGTTACCAGATAAACAGAACTTCCACTCTCCTGTCTTTAGAATTTCTCAGGACTTTGTAAAACAAGCAATTAAGTATATAAATGCTAAGTGTAATAGAAATGTGGAACATATTTGGAAAAGAGAGATGTTAGGTCACTTTACTCAAAATCACTAAGCTCCTTGAAAACTAAATTTTTGTTTGACTCTTCTTCATTTCTCTTTTTCGAAAACAGCTGCAGCTGGTGGACAGTAGCATTCACAGATGTTCTGGAGGCCCAGAGGTACTCGTTCCCTTCCGGGTTTACAGTAACACCCAATGTGAAATCTCAGAGAACAAGCTTTGGGGACTGCTGTCCTCCTATACTACCCCGGATGGATTATCAGCGTTGTGCTTATCAATTAAGGCATTGTCAGTCCTCCCGGGGCAAGAAAAATCTCCATCTTCCTCCAAATTAAAGATTGGTTCTTGCACTCCCATTTTCTCCCCTGTCCTATTTCCCTGACATTTTCCCTAGCAAGTTGAGTTTAAAAGTGGTTGTAATCCAGTGATATAAGATAATGGACATAACAGGCGAGTTAATTTTTAAAGAATTTACTTATATAGACTTTCACTCCATATGTTTGTTTTATTTTAGTTTTCTTGGATTGGGAATAGGAATATATCACCCATTTCGTATAAATTCAGAAATATTTGCATGAAATACTCATAATCATTCATTAACTTACTTTTTTTCTGGGTCCCCATTCATGGCCCTCACAAATATATAGATCTGAGATATTTTTATTGGCCACTGGATTCATTATGAAAAAGAATAGACTTTTAAAATGAAAAATTTTATGAAAGTTTAAGCCAAGTGTTGGCTTAAATGTGTTTGAGGGAGTATATGGATCTTAGACTACTGGTAGATTCTTCATGAGTCTACAAATGAAAAAGAGAAAGAAAGAAAGAAAGAAAAAAGAAAGAAAGAAAGAAAGAAAGAAAGAAAGAAAGAAAGAAAGAAAGAAAGAAAGAAAAGAAGCTGCGACTGCTGTCCTATCACAGACTATTCTTTTGGCCTCCAATGATTATATTTCCTGAGTTTAAGTTCCAGTAGTCTAATTTATCTTTGCTTTTTTTGTTATTGTTAAGGATAGGAAGACACTCTTTTATTGGGATCTTTAGCTTACAGATTTGTTTAAGCACTGTTAAAATTTGGGCTGACTTTGACTAGTAGCACCCAGTGCCCTCCTAGTCTTGTGTTGTGACTTCCGCTGCATTTCATAACTCACCATGGCCCTTTCCGGAATAAGGCCAATTTGCCTGCCATTCCCAGCAATTGACCTTCTGATTTTTATCTTCAATGTCTCCTTTTCACTCTTACTGGCAATAGAATAACAAAACTCTCCCCCTGCCAATTCTAGATTTATTTTCTCTAGTTACCTTGTCCAGATTAATGTCTCTTCTTAATCTCATCACTCACTGCCCTGGACTTTTAAGTCTTTAATTGAGAGTGCATTGTTTTTATTGATTTTAATGAAGTTTGTAAAGCTTCTTTATTTATGTTTCTTCATGCACGGCTTTTCTTTCCTACCCAGATTGTGAGCTCCTTATGAGCAGTGATCACATCTTCTAATTCTTTTATGTGCCTAGTATAGTGCTATGCACAGGTAGGTGATGAATAAGTGCTTGTTAATTAAATTGAATCAATTTAAGTTACAGCAGTTGTGTTATGAAGCAAAAACTTCTGTTATCTGAATGAAAAAATGTTACCATGATGTAAAAAATGGGTTATCTGTTGATATGCTCTTTATTATCTCATTGGGTTATGAAGTAGATGAATAAATAAAGTTAATACTTATTTCTATCAACTTGGATAAGTTTTTCACTGTATGGTAATAAGATCAGGGGATTAATTTGTTGTATTGCCAAATTTACAATGTGGATGATATCTCCTGCTCTTGATCGACTTCATATGGGTAATGGGAGATGACAGACCATCTCTAAAGACATTCATCTCCCAAAGACACATACTTTTAGAACAAATGTCAGTGTTATAAATATTCAGTCACGATAGATCAAATTTTGACTTATCTATAAATTGAAAAATGATTTGGAGTTTTATAGCACCTATCTCATGATTTAAATTAAACATTTGTAAAATATTTAATCTTTTCAGTCTCCAGAAGGTTTAAGAAATATTTCCACTTTTTGCACAGACAAGGGTCTGAGACAGTGACTGCTATACACAAAGCTCTCTTATGGCTGTTCAGAGAAAGCCTTACAGTGGGGTGATCAGATTTCCAAGGTTTATTTCCATATCTAACGATTAAAACCATAGAGATATCAGAAGTCAAACAAAAATCTAATTTGTATCTTTTATTCTTTCTGAGAGGAATAACAAAGCTCTGGCAAGTATATGCAAAAACATTATCATTTATGTGGAAAATTTAAAAACTGCACTAACACACCTTCTTGGAACTGTTTCCTTTGGCTGCTGAGAAGATCATATATTTAAGCCATTTATAGCAACAAAACTTTAACCTGAACTGTTGTATACTTTTTTATCTGGTATATCCCTTCAAGTTCAAGGATCAGAAATATATACCCAAGAGTAAATAAGTAGGGATTCAAAACTGAGTGATGTAGAAAAGGGACTGGCAAGTATTCTTAGCTTTCAAAGCACACGTGCACTTGAATTTTTAGTAGAGACATTGAGACCTTAACCGTAACTTACACACACAAAAGCAAAAGCAGTAGTCTTTGTTTGAGTTCACAAGAGAAAGCTCATAATTACATCACTGAAAATAACTTCTATTTACATTTTGCTGTATTTTTTTTCAGATTTGTAATCACGCAAACAGATTCAATAAAATAGTTTGGAACACAAGACATATCTAGTTTTATGCTTCTTTTTCATTTAATATTTTCCGATGCCATAGCTATCACTTCAAAACATTTTCAATGGCTATTTAAATTTATATCTTTAAATAAATTATTAATATTACTATTGTTTAATTTGTTTAACCATTCTACTGTTGTGCATTTAAATATTAAATTTCAATCTTAATCCTTTTGAATGCATTTTTTGTGAAACCATTAATTATGAGTATAGACTTTTAAATCAATACATTTGCTTTTCTAAAGCCAGTTTTGGTCAACTTAATGATACAATATATTATTTTCTTTCATAGCAATTATCCTTAGAAGTTACCAAATTTTTCTCTTGATTGTTTTATTTGTGACTATATATAAATCTCCTTTGAGGAACTATCTTATTTTTCAAAGAGTTTTATGTTTAGGGAAAACATATATATATATATATAT